TTGGAATTTTCTGTTCGTAAACACTATTTCTACAGATTTTGAAGCATTAAGTTTGATTTTATCATTTGCTGTCCAGTTGTCTATTTTATTTAGATGGATCTGAACATTTTGACGCGCCTCTCTATAGCTCTTGGATGAGTCCATCACGAGCGTATCATCGGCATAGATTCCCATCTTCCCCTCTCTCCTCGGCTGTGGGATGTCCGATGTAAAGAGAGAATAGAGAAGAGGGGAGAGACAGGAACCTTGTGGAACTCCTGCCCCTATCGGTCTTAAACTGGAAATTTCGTTTTCATATCTTACTCTAAAACTTCTGCCTTCCAAAAATGAAGATAGGAGTTCCACGTGATTGCAAGGAAGTAGTTTGAATAATTTTTCAACGAGCCGCTCGTGCCAGACTCTGTCAAACGCCTGAGCAACATCCAAAAATACCGCCACACAGAATTCACCTTTTTCTAAGGAGTTCTCTATGTATTTTGTGACTCTATGTAGTTGTTCAATTGTAGAGTGTTTGGCCCGAAAGCCAAACTGAGCGTCTATTAATAGATTTTTTTTACTTACGATTTCGTTAAGTCTTTTAATATAAAGTCTTTCAAACAATTTACCAATGACTGGGAGTAAAGATATGGGTCTATAAGAATTTGTATCTGCAGGGGCTTTACCTGGTTTCAATAAAACAAAAATCTCGGCGATTTTCCACTGTTGAGGAATATACCTAATCCTTATTACTGCGTTGAAAATGCCTACAAGCTTCATTATGGCTTTGTTTGGAAGGTTTTTTAATATTAATCCAGAAATTTTATCAAACCCTGGCGCTTTTTTAATTTTAATTTTACCTTTAATTTCTCTTATAACTTCTGAAGGAGTAATTGATTTTATTTTACTTGGCGGTATTTTCTTGATCTTGTTGGACCTCGGTGCGGATGCCGTTCCCTCACTTTGGTTGTCTTTTTTATCTTCTCTTACAGTGCTATCATGTGGTTGAAAACAGTTTTGAAAGTGATCTGCAAGTATTTCAGCTTTTTCCTCATTTGTTTCGGCCCAAGAACCGTCCCCTCTTCTTATTGGAAATCCAAGCTGTTTCGGTCTCTTCAGATATTTGGTTGCAGCCCACAAAGAAACTCGTTAAAGTAGACTTCGAAATTTGACTCGTGACCTTTTTTTTTCAAAATTCAGATTCTACTATTTCTATGGCCTTGTCCACACGAAAGCAGTTTGAGCGAATTAGTTCCCTGGACTGGAGGGTTAGAGGAACAAGTCATAGCAAGTCATAGAATTATAACAAGTTAGATTAACCCACGTATCACAATTTCGTCAAAGAAAAACTAGTATCTCCGTTTGCGACGTTGCCATACTTAATTTTTTCATTAGAGGACGGGTCAACTTAATTTCTTGAAGTCTCTCCGGATTTTTCTTCCTAATTAGCAGAATGTTCCGTGGAAGATTCGTGCTATAGAATTGACATTTTTTCGTTCGAAAACATAAAATAGGAGCAAAGATTTTGAAACACTGCAATGGAAATAGGTGGCTTCGCACTTTAGCCATGAGTATGATTCGTGGCATATTGATTCTATCGCACGGAATTACACGAAATTCCATCATGAAATTGAAATTTTACTTTTTTAAAATTCACGGAATTTCGCATCTCCGGGTGAGCCTCATTGCAGAATGTGTTCCAATTAACGGGCGGCCGCCAGAATTGAATCTTAAGACACGATCCTGCATGTGACATAAATGGGTAACTGACTCATCCAGTATATGAATTTCTTTATGAGATTGAAATTTTATTTTATAAAAATTCATGAAATTTTGCATCTCTGAGTGAGCCTTATTGCAAAATGTGTTCCAATTTACCGGCGTCCCCCAGAATTGAATCTCAAAATACGGTTCTGCGTGTGACATGAATACCTGGCGCATCCAAGAAATGAATTTCTTTATGAGATTGAAATTTTATTTTATAAAAATTCATGAAATTTTGCATCTCTGAGTGAGCTTCATCGCAAAATGTGTTCCAATTTACCGGCGTCCTACAGAATTGAATCTCAAAATACGGTTCTGCGTGTGACATGAATAACTGACTCGTCCAGGAAATGAATTTCTCCGACATGCTGGGTGCAGAAGTAGTTCGGGCGGGGGAAAAATTTCCAGGTAAATTGCGGGGGAGAAACGTGGTCGTACATAAAAATATCAAGTTGCAGAGGATCGCGGGTTTCTTGCAGGGTGGCCGGCTGGATGCGTCCGTAAGGATGGTGGGTTGTGCTCATCGTAGCGGAACGTCTTTCACCGGAAATGAAACCACCATAATGTATGAAAACAAACTCGTTCGGGATACCGTCTCGAACTTCCATGATTTGCTCACCCGTTATCCCCGGGGATTTTATGCTAACTCCTCTTATTCGTTTGTCATCATCAGGAAAGTTCAGTGGGAAAAAAAGTAGCTTGGATCTAGTGTCCGGACTCTTAAAAACATAGACAAGAAAAAATACTCTTAATTCAATCGGATTTTTCCTTGAATCGAAGAGCCAAGCCTCTTGCTTTAAGAGGATTTCCTTTTGATTCAAGCAAAACTCCGATTGAATCAAAAGTGGGAACTTTTTCTTGTCACTGTTTTTAAGAGCCTGGACTCTAGATCCAAACGACTTTTTTTTTTTCCAGCGTTCGTCCGACTTTTCTCCTTACTTCGAGGTTGTAAAAAGCTGGACTTTCTGGACTGCACCGGTTCTGTTAGGATCCGGTAATTAATGGTATGGTGGTGCAAAAATAAGTATAAAAAGATGAAGTAAAGAAAGAACAGAAATGAACGTGTCCGAGAGTTCAAGGAGACAGTAGCGCTCGATGTTATGACCAAGCACTCAAGCAGCTCAAAGCAACTCAAGATTATTGAAACACACAATTTGCGACGTTGCAGATTTTTTGTCCAATTTTATTTTTTTTTAATAAATTTCATTTCCAGCAAGCATGCATTTCTGGAGCTTTTACAGGTTTTCTCCGTCCTTTGTAGAATATTCCGTGAAAGTCTCGATCAATGACTTTTATCGATACTCCTCTTAGTAAGATCATGAGCCAACAGCAAAAATTTTGACAGGTAACAATGAAGATACGTGTTTTGCGATTTTCATCATCGATATGTTACCAAAATGCACTATAACAGGGTATCCTCGGGAAGATTTTAAGAGAGTGCACAACGGATAGAAATACAATTATTTTGTGAATAACGTTTTTTTTTCCGTTTTCTGTACCCGTCGCAAAAATTCAGGAAGAACTATAATTTTTTTCACAAAAGCTCCCACAGTCGGAGCTACGTGCTCCGAAGTGTGATAAAAAATTATAGTTCTTCCTGCATTTTTGCGACAGGTACTGACCACAACTCGAAAAATTACTATACCTTCCATTACTTTCAGCCCTGACTCATCCATGGCATCGACAAATTCGAAAATCTTAAGTTGAAGGAAGGGAAATATCAGCAGGCTGATTGTTGACATTGATAGACAAAGCTATATACAGAGAAGACGTGGGGAATATGAAGTAGACCTATTCGTTGAAATGGGTGGTTCTTAAAGACTATATAGGTAAATGATGGGTCTCTCGTGGGTTGCCATTAGTTAGTCTATCACCTACCTACCATGTCCATTGCAACCACCCGCTTCCACCAATAGGATCTCTCCATATCCCTGTTGTCTCCTTTGTCTATAGCTTTAAAGGTAACAGCTTAAAACAACCGAGTGCTGAGCGCTAACTGTTTGGATCAACTGGAGCTAGCTAATATGGCAGTAGTGCTGAGCCATACAACTTTAGGGTCTATCCCTACAGACTGCAGATCTCAGCACCACTGCAATTAGATGGCTCCATTTGGTCTAAACAGTTAGGGTTCAACACGAAGTTGTTTTTTCAACATTGATAGAAAATTGTCTATCAATTTTAACAGTCAGCCCGCAGGGAGTCTAGGATTTTTCAGGGTAGTAAAACTTGGCCCCTCACCCTGGACCTTCCGAAATCTCCCATTGACTTGATAAGTGAGTCGATGCTTTTGAGATCATGGATAAATAGTGAATACGACACCAACAATTCTGGGATTTACCCTTTTTTCATAGGTTGTGGTCCATAATTGTCGCCAAAATCCAGGAAAAACGATGATTTTCTCAGAAATTGGGGGGGGGGGTGGTTGGTGCGGCCCCAACCGCTAGCATTTTTTATAAAAACTTAATGAACGAAAAAATTCTTACTTTATCCCACTGAACACGCTCCTGCAGTCTTAAATTCAACCCTGGAATACCCTGTGCTATAATTTAAATAATTAGAACGAACTAGGACTGAAATTAGCAGAAACGCACCAAGTCGCATTTTCGAAGAAAATGCGACGAAAGTAACTTTGAATTAAACTACCTGGTTGTAAATTTTCTTCAATTAGAAATTCCAGGTCGAGAGAAAATATTTTGAACATGAAAATTGTCGTTTAACTTCGTCCTTAATATGGAGTATTTTTGGCAGTCAAAACTTCCGACTCATAGGCGGATCCAAGGGCTCAAGCTACCGCCCACTCCTCTATTCGTATCGGAAAAAAGGGGAAAAAAGGAAGAAGGAAGAAACGGAGGAAAGTAGAAGGAAGGAAGCTTACATTTGGTGATTATTTACAACAAAATTGACTCAAACTGCATGTTAGATGCTTTAATTTTTAAAATTTTCTGGGATTAGCCCCCTAGGCCTCCCCCCCCTTCGGCCCTCACCGTTCGTAGTGTCTAAATCCACCTATATTCCACCCAACCTCCTTTAATGCGACTTGGTGATTTTCCGTAATACTCAAATATCCTGCAAGTTAATACAACTATTCCTGCTCTAAAGCTGTCAGTGTAGCATATAGAAAAAATTGAAGGCGTTTTCGTTTGTCCTCCAGAGTTATTCGATGCGCATGACGTTTTTTTTTTTAAAAAAAAAATTTAAAATTGGAATTTTTTTTACTTCGGGACACTCAATTTGAAAATATAGCAGCGAGTCGAGCTTACCTATCAAAGAATCCAACAGTATCCGAGAGGGATGAAACTCCCACTTAAAAAATTGGCCAAACCACACTCGAACTACACTTAAGTGTCAACTCAAATCGTATCACTTCTCGAAAAAAATTCGCAATAAACAAGGGTGAAGGGCGACGGGTGACAATATCCCAGACCACAAACTAAGGAGTCCTAGGTCCGACGAAAATTCACAGGAATTTTTAAGGATTTTCCCGAGATTTTCGGGGATTTTCAGGGATTTTCCAGAGATTTTCCGTGCGAACTGGAGGGATTCCGGAGATCTCGCGTGACACGCGGTCGGAGCTGGAGAAAGCGCGGGCCCCGTGGCGGATGAACGTGGGCGGGCGGGCGACTGACTCGTCTGGCAGGGACCCGTTGGGGACGGCGGCGCGGCGTGCATGCGCGGGAGCGGGGGGGGGGGGGG